GAAGAAGGATACTGAGCCTATAATATGTTGTTTCATGGGCTTAATTCAATGTGAAAAGTAATATATACTTACAATAAAACGGCACGTGAATTTATGTTATTATTATTATTATTATTATTATTATTATTGTTGTTGTTGTTGTTTTTGTTATTATTGTGATGAAAAGTTAACACAAACGGTACACAAATAGGTCAATGAAGGCGATATGGTTGCTAGACGAACAGACATGTAAAAATATTTTTTTAAATTTTTTTTTGTTCCCCGACAGGGGGGGGGGGGCTAGGCTTCCCCGACGAGGGGGCTATAGCCCCCCAGCCCCCTTTGGCGCCACGGCAAGCACAACGCACAAATAAGCGCAGTGGCTCTAACGTATAGGTCTAAGCATTGTGGCATTTAATGTTTCTTACCAAAAGGACATTATACAAGCATTTTCCCACAACATTTATAAGAATAATCAACAACTCAGATACAGTGTACAACACATGGTTGGCTTATCATAATTGTTGCCTCTCTTGAATAAGCGCCTCACTTGAATAAGCAACCACACCAAAAGGCGCGTCATATGCACGGTGTGTACTTGTACCTGTAAATTGCTAATGAATATTCTTGAATTAAAAACAACTCAAATTAAAAACAAGTCTGGTGGTGAGTCGAACATACGATAGATACTCCTCCTATCAAGTCAAAATAACCTTGATATACGTCGGAAAAAATATACCGAACACTGCCGAACTACGGTGTTCAATCGGCGATACAAAAATCACGTGGAGCGTAAAATGACGTCATGATTGAGTTACAATAATCATATGATCTTTATATTGATACGTTAAATAGCTAAAACTTATGATGGATATAAGGTACCGGTAGTCTACATAATTAATGATCTTGTCAATAACTAAAATGATCGATGGATAATCAATGCGGCATACATACACGAAGAAACATATAGAATGACTTAAACATAGATTAAATATTTATAAACATTTGACTGAAATGACTTGTATTGTCCTTATTGTAGCTATAAAATAGGTCTCAAAAAACCATATTTTCCGAACATATAATAAAATACAAGTCCTTAAAATTTTCGTTATCATAGCCTACTTTTTTAATGCATCTAAAATCACAGCCTATGAAATCGGATTGCATTTAGTCATATTTTGTCTGAAGCCTTTAAATTACTGTAGTCGTTTAATCCCCGAAAGGAATACGGTTCTTGCTTCCATCCTCGCACTTCTGTCGATTCAGTGAACTGACAAACGTTGTGTCAAATTGCGCCCGTCATGCTTGTCTCTCTCATCGATATTTCTGGAATTTTAACCGAGAGTTGGGTCTCTCAATCACGCATGCGCCGTATAACCCCTAATTTCAGGTAACTCGATTATATTTCAGTTGTAGCTGAGAAATGAATGTCCACCGACGAAGGATTATTTAACTGTCACTTATTCCTTCTTCAAAGTATTTACTTACATTCAAGTTGCTAAGGTGAGCTTTCGTTTTTGAAAGTGTATGTACTTCATAAATGTCAACAATAATGTGTAATAGACCTACTTGTACTTGTTTAGGTCTATATTAATGTTGATTAATAAGTGGTGGGTCTGTGAATTTTCGTCCGTTTTAAAATAACATTTTTTAGAAGAGAGTTACATTAATTGATTAAATATTTATTCATCTGACATAATTTAACTATTGTTTATCCGATCAGGGGTCGTTTAATTATCCCTAAATTGTGTCCAATACTGTTCCATGGGCTATTAGTGACAACTGCTTTTGCATTTAAACATTGTATTGTCGATGAGCTTGCATGCTTTCCTGCGCGGTGTGATGTTGACTTTAGCATCAGTACTATATTATTCAATTAGGTTGGCGCTGATTAAATGGTGGTTGAATTAAATACGTGATAGACCAATTAAACATGCGTTGCATTAATAGTGAACATAATTAATATAATGACATAAGCTATTATTTTTATTCTATTGACAACAATAAATCAAATCACTCTAGCTAAAGTAATTAAAGGTTTAGAGCAGCAAAACAATAACCATAACTAACTATATATATATATGTATATATATATATATATGTATATATATATATGTATATATGTATATATGTATATATATATATATATAT